ATTAAACCCCGTTGCACAGAATAAAACAACACAAATTATGCTTAAACAACCGAAATGAGCAGATAAATTGTGTATTAGCATAAGTTAAAAAGAACAGGGTTTGTGTTCACGGGTAAGCCCTCGAGGTGCAAGGGTGAACGCGTCTGGGGGTTTTAAAACAAACTTTCAATTGCAATTTTTTAGCTGGTATGAACAAATTTCTTTTAAATAATTCTTTCATATATTGCACATCCTGATTTCCTGTTTATTTTTTCAATTTGATTCAACTTGCTAAATGCTATGCTCTCAACTTTTACTACAAATTTTATGTCATTTCTTGCTCGTACTTACTTTTCGTACTTCTAAGGCATTATTTAGGCTAGTAGTAAAAAGAAAAACATGGCTACACTGCTCTTATATCCACTTTGTAGTAAAACAGGTTTGTGGATGAAGATTGTAATAATATGAAATAATATAATTTGGAGTAAATAATCAAAATCAAATCTAAAAATCGGCCCAAAAATATCATCAGAGCTTAGCAGCCATTAATTTCTCTAGATTCAAAACAATTGGCATTGGTCATGGAAAAAAAATATCGGTCGATTTCTATTACTAGTAGGCTAGTACTAGTAATATGTGTGTAGTAGTAGTAGTAATAATTAGTGATGGGACAGTGATTTATGTTTTGATCCAATATTCAAGTAATACTATGACTATACAAAATTAGACAACTTGGCTAAACCCTAAAAATTAAATATATGTGCATCTAAAATATAAACAGTGTATTTCAAATATTTACTGCATGTTTAGCCAAAAAAAAAAGAAATTCTTGGAGAAATTTTAAGTATGAAATCAATACTTTTCAATACAGCAGTTCTGAAATCAATATTTCGTATTGTTCTGTCAATCACTAGTAAAAGTAGAAGAAGTAATAGTTAACAGTAATAGTAGTATCAGTAGTTGTGCTAGTAGCATTGCCCTACCATTGCAAATAATAAAGCAAATTTAAATCTAAAGATACAAGATAAAAAGTTCCACAAAATTAGTCATACATTTTTCTTCTGTTGACGACACCAGTGGTTTCACAATGGAATAATTTTAGCCTAATATAACGAGCAGTCTGTCTGTCATTTAGTGTGTGGGGATGGAGTGATGCTGCCGGAGTAACGAGTGGCAATGGGCAGCAGCAGACAGCACACTCAAGCAGACACTGGCTATGTGCAGTTATATATAGTCAGGCCAGTGAAGGGTGTCAGGCTGGAGATAGACTGTTTCCAGGACGTAGACCGTACCAAAGCTCCACGCGTGTCACTGTGAAGGTCTGACAAAGTGAAATCATCCAGGCTTTGTCTCTATAAGATGCCTTCACATTCAGTTGCATTGATAAGTTGTCTAGAGAAAGTTATTTATAGCTATGTTATTTTGTATGCATACGTTGAAATTATGGTGATATAGGATTTTATTTTGATGATTTACAGGCAAAGCAAGCATAGAAATCTTACACACAGCTATGAGAGACTAAATACCACAAAACACCACAGTAGGTCTAGTATTTGAATCCCAAACTACATTGTGTTGTAAACCACAATACACTAACATTTTGTTATGGTTCTAAAAAAAAAAAAAAGTTAACAGCTAAATATACAAATTAAATGAAATATATTTTCTGTAATGTTACATGTGCCATATATAAAATGATGTGAGTGAACCTAAAGAAGAGTCTCTCCAGGTCATGACATCAGGACATTTCTTATCATCACTAATATAATCCTGATGTCTCATGTTCAGTACAAGACTTCACATAATATATATTCTATATGATCATCTGGATTCCACATTAATATGATATCTGACATATCAGTCTCTGCTCCAAGAACAGCTGACAGCACAGTCTGGTCTGTTTGCACCTTTTTCCCCACATTACAGGACATTTGTACTGTCTTAAGTGTTCACCCACTATATGAAGGGCAGCTGGTTCAAACCTTGTCTATGAACGTGCAGCTGTTATGTCCATGGGCAAGACGCTTGATTTTAATGGAGTATGTAACATTTGTAAAGAACACATTAGGAACACCAATAAAAATATGTGGTAAGATAACAAATAATGTGTAACTGTGATGAGAACACACGTATGTTAGCGGTCCTTCCTCTTCACTTGATCTTATAGATAGGCCTCCTGCTGTGAGCCCTCTACTCTGCACTCTCCTATTCAGACTGTGCCTATAGTTTTATTTAAGCAAATAATATTTACATTTAGATCAGGGTCAAATCTGCATTCCTTCAGCCTAGCTTTCCCTGCACTTCCCCCCCAAACTGTCCCTCCACAACCCCTTCTCCTGGGCCGTCCTGCCTGTGACCTCTGAGGTGGGGATGGGAGAAAGTGCTGAAGGCTGCAGGTGTCCTGGAGCTGCTCTGAGCAGGTGTCCTGCCTCAGCCTGCATCCTCCACTTTAACCCCTGCACTGCCAGGACCAGCGCACACAAATACTGCTCCATCTCTTTCCACTGGGAAGAACCTATTCAAATGTGATATACTTTTAGTTCAGATTCATCTTCTTTGTTTAAAAGCCATGTCAAAAGTAAAGGGTCTGTATGAACTTCTCTTGGCATGCAGTGTCCACAACAAGGAAGATAAGTGCGATCCCAGCATTTTTGCGGAAGATTGTGACTGTTGATATTGTGATGCAAAGATAATTTTTGATATATTGTTCAGGCCCACTTGCTCCGTATAATTAGTCAACGTTAGGGAGAGTGGACAGTGATGGAGTGCGTGTATTAAAAGGCAAAACAAGCATGTGCTCAGTGCTGAGGCATGAGGACAGCAGCATTCTGCCGGCTGCACTGTAAAATTAGCTGATGCTGAGGTAGGACTTTGGAATGTCCAGGCCTGCGGTGAGAAGGGAGAGAGGAGAGCCGAGGTGTCCACAGCATGTCCGGACCTGTACGGGCCAGAGGGGGCAAGGAGGGGGCGGGGCAGAGGGGCGAGGCAGGAGGGCGAGGGGTAGAGGGGGAGGGGTTGTATTACACTGGCGATGGCTGGCCTGGCTCACAGGCTGATACCTCAGCAGCACCAGCATTGACCAGGCCTTTAAATAAAGGCTTCGATCTCCTGCATAGAAGGTCACAGGCAGCCTCTGGTTACCCTGTGTCTGTGTCTGCTCCTGGAGCCTCACGCAGACTGCACTTCCTGCCACGCACACTTCCTCTGACTCCCTACAGCGCGCAAACACTCTTTTACTGAGAAGACATCTCTTAAAACTATTTCAGTGTACTTATGCTGCAAACACACGTGATGGATATCAAGATTATTTGGTAATTAATAACTATTCAGGTTAAAATATAATTTGCCATCATAACATTTTTATTTTTCCTTACAATAACACTGAAATCTGAACTTGTGCCATCCCCAATACTTTATACTACATTTATGAAACTGACTTGGGTCACTTAAGCCTTGCACAGTGCGCATCAAGACAATCAGCACTAACCAGAGTGCAAGTATCTGTAATATTTCACTAATCTAATTTCAAAATGTACCCTGACCTTAACCTGACCACCAAATAAGTGCTGTGGTCAAATCAGTTTTTTAGCTTCACTCTAACCAGTAGCAACTGGCTAGAATGAAGCCTATGTTACCAAGGAATCTCTCTGAAAATGAATCCACAGCTTTGTCACCACCTGTTTATTACTACTACTGCAACGAGCTCTACGTCGGCATAAATCTTTCTTGCAGTTAGTTCGAAATGCTGCCGCTCGTGTTTTAACAGGTGCCTGTTTTTAAGTCACATCTAAAAACACACCTTTTCTTGTGAGTTTCTTTTGAGTATCATGTTGTTGTAGGGTACACTGTGCTTTGTTGACTTTTTGTAGGCCTGTCACTGCCTTTTATTACGTCGTGTTTTTTTTTTTTTTTTAATAAATAAAGTTGGAATTACTATAAATGTAATTTCAATTTCTACACTGCAGTAAGTAAGTAGATTTTTTGTATAGTTAACAGCCCTAGTATTAAACTTGAATTTAGACTTAGTTTTAAAAGGAAGAGACAAAAAACAGTTTCAGCAGTTAAGTCAGACCTGCCACCATGTTTGCTTTTTTTCTTTTGGTTCAAACTGAGCCTATATATCATATTTAGTGGAAAAATGTTGACACATACAGTATATAATATGTAACTTAAACATTTCTGCTTCTTTTTGGACAGCTATAGCAGTTTGAAAAAGACATTTCGATTTCTCACTTTTGACACCAGCGCATGAGAACCATCAAAGTGTCAGCCCTCGTCACATCAGGCAGCCCTAATGCGAGTGTACAGTGTGCAGAGGCAGCAGGACGATGTGCAGAGAGGAGCGCAGAGTGGCCGCAGAGGTCACGGGGTCGAGATAGAGGTCAGGGGTCAAGGGTCACAGTCAGGAGCATGTCACTGCTGCCTGTCAAAAGCTGTCACAATCCCCAAACACAACAAGAGCCTCCATCACAAAGCAGCAGAGAAGGGACAAGTATTCAAAGTACTTCAAAGTATATTTCATGCACTGTATGCATCACTATACTACCCTTATTTCTGCGAGCTTGTTTTGTATACATCCAGACAGTATACGAAAAATGTTAACTGTATTTTTAAAGATGCACAATGTAACTTTTCTTGTGGAAGTTTCTAGTAGGTCGGGGTCATACAATAGTCTGGTCTCAATGTGTTATTATTTTGCCTCTAAAATGTTCCACAGTATGACATAAAATTTATCTGTCTCCATGGAGACAAGGAAGAGGAGCCACCAGGCAACATTACAGGTGAGGTCTGTGATGAGGGGAGCCAGTCACAGTAAGAATGCATGCCTTTCAAGGTCCCATTTAGCAATAAAAATATTGAATAAATGTGAGAGATTAACATGAATGTCACTGGTGCAAATAAAAGCAATAACATCTCCATGGAGACAAGCAAGTACTGGGTTATCAGAAAAGTAACACAAGGCACCTTTAAAAAATCCCAAAACATTTCGGCTGATGCTGATAATAAATGATAAAAGTTACCTCAGAGTGTGGGATGTACAGTCTTGGCTCTCTATCACAGATGGAGGAATTTTCTCGATGTCCTAAAAAAGAGAAAAACATTTTAATCAAATGAACTAAGGTAGTTCGTAAAGCATGTATGCAAGTGTAGGAACAAAGTCCGTAACAATTTGGGATGTCATGAAATAAATCTTTGCTATAACACACTCACGTAAGTGCAATTTTATTCAAAAAGTCAAAATTTGCTATATTTGCAATCAACTGCAAAACAATCTAAAATTCATAAAATGAAAATACTGCATACATTATTAATATATGAAAACAATAAATTCACCTAAAAATGTCCAAACATTTCAGTTCAGTGATTCTCATGTGAATATTAAGACTGTTTATTGCAATTTAATGTCTCAAATTGTATAGATTGTGCTTTGAACATTGCTGAATTGTTACACCTTTAATATTTTGTGGAAAACTGACATGAATTATTACAAAATGTGGTGACACTTTATAATAAATAATAGTAATATTAATACATAGCCTAAATAAAGCAAAAACAAAGAGTTAATCCATAATGAATTATGAACTGGCACCTAAAATGCAGTTAAATCAAAATATAATCAGTTTAGATCATTTCATTTTAGATGTGTTATTCAAAATTCTAGTTTTTCCACATACAGTATTTCAAGCCACGCACATGAACAAGGCATGTAGTTAAATCTGTCTCTTCCAGGAAACTTCGACAGAAATCAGGTGAAGTGTGAGTGTTCTGGCCCCAATCCACAGCCAGGCTACAAAGAGGCTTTAGTGAGCACTGAGCTGTAATCGGCTTCACACAGGGGCCAACCCGGGGACCCTAACCCGCTCTCTCCTCCTCCCTCTCGCTTATCCCTCTCTCTTCTCCTCCCTCTCTGTCTGTCTCTATCCTCCTCTCCCTCTTTCTCTGTCTCTTTCACTCTTTCTCTCCTCCCTCTGTCTCTCTCTCCCCATCTCTTAGTAACTCTCTCTATGGCTCCCTCCTCCTCCCTCTCTCAATCTCTCCCTGTCTCTTCTTCTCCCTCTTTCTCTGTCTCTTAACCTCCCTCTCTCCTCCTCCACCACTCTGTCTCTCTCCCTTCTCCTCCCCCCACAATCATGTTTACTCTTACTAACACATGGGAGAGAGAGAGGGTGAGAGAGGTCAGCCAGTCCACGTGCACTGGCCCTACATGCAGCGGTGAGGAGGGTGGATGCCCGGATGCCTCTCCCAGAATCCAGGGGCCAGAGGAGGGCAGCAGAATCTGGGGGAGCTGGGTACAATTTGGGAGGGTCACCTTGCCTGGCTCTGGATCAATGTAGTTTTGAGAGGCTGAGTGACAAACAGCAACTAAATGCAACATGAAACAGGGACAGAGGAGGCAACACAAACTGCTACCTCGTTACTTCAATGTATACAAAATGCCTGCAAGCCACTTTTCAAATTCAAATAATTTTTTACACCATGTATTCATAGTATTCATTATTAAAATATTAATTAATACTCATGATCATGTTAATTTAGTCCAAGTGTAATCTTGTTTTAGTCATGATTCAGGGTTTTTTTGTTTGTTTTTTTCATTTTCTTTTCAAATGTATTTTGAAATTATGTATAAAATTGTAAGCATCTAGCCTAAACACATCCAGATGCTACTTTGCACAGACAGGCATTGCAATTATAGGAGTTTTAATATTTAACAAAAAAAGTCTGTATACTCTTCCTTTAAGAACTAACACTGCACTGGTCAGAACATGGGCTAAAATTATTTTTAAAAATTCCATGTTCTGTATACATGGATTTATGACAATGCAGAGGATACTTACAAAAAACCTTCTGCACTTACTGGTCAAAACTAGGCTCTAGTCAAAATGAATTCTCCATTTGAATCAATCATACCACTAGGTCTTAAAACCTGCTAACCCTGTAGTTTTCAGTCTTTACAAACTTGTTCTGAAATGCTAGCTGTCCATCAGAAATCAGTCTTCTCTCAGTACTAACACTACTTGACATGCTTACAACACGCACCGTGAACTCAATCTTAATTCCCCAAAATCCCAAATCACTCCCGCAATCTTCAAAATCAAAATCACAATTTGACATTCCTCCACACCCTTCCAGCCCTCTATGAAATCAAAACCAATTACTCTTTATCCAGCGTTGGCCATGCAAATTCAATCCCCGACAACACAAGACGCTTACATGTCCCAATATACACATAAATACAGTCTCCCTCAGTCAGTACACAATTACATTATCTCCCCTCCATGCTTCTATGCTGTTCAAATTCACCATGCAAAACCAATGAGACACAGACCCTCAGTCAAGAAGAGAGAGGAGAGAAAGGGAGACTTCATTCTATAGTTACGAATACACAATCCCTATACGCAACTGGCCCGCATAAGTGAAATTATTATCTTTCCGAGTAAATTACATATAACTTAGGACAATGCAAGACAATAGGGTGGAGAAGGCAAAGGGGAGGGGGGAGGGAGCATAGCATAGCCCCCACCGCGTTGTAAGGGTGGGGAATGATGGACGCGTTTCGGAAGAACATCAACGTGCCTGATTTAAATCGCTTTAAATGTAAATGTTTATGGTTTGCGCGGTGATGCAAATGCGGATAGAGTGGGAGAGGGGGAAATAGCGGGCGTGTTGCAGTTTGAATGTGGTTTTAACCCTTCTGGGGATGTGTCATTTGGGACAAGAGGAGCAGGCATGCAGAGAAGAGAGGAAAAGAAATATGTGATTGGATTGAATAAAAAAAAATCTAAATAACAAGGTAAGTTAGTGGCTTTTTAATAATGTGAAAGTAGAGAAATAAGTTTTGTGTTTTAAAATTCTGTTAAGTGGTGCACATTACTGAAAACTGTTTACATTACACCCACTTACACCCACTAAATGGAAAATGCGCTGCTCTGTAACTAGAGATAGGGTTTAAACTTTTCGCAAGAATTTTAGATATTGCAAATGTGGTTAGAATTTTCTTTTAAAAACAAATTTCAAGTCCAGGTTAAGAGAAGACTGAACAATTAACCACTAAACTAGTAAAAGAATCCCATACATTTCAGAACATGTTTGTAGAGGTCTAAACTATAGACTTAGCGGGTTTTACAAGACAAAGTGGAGACAAGATAACCTTTCATTTGAAAATTTGAACATTGCAATTTGTCACAATTCATTTGAAATTTTGATAAAATTTTGATAGATTATTTTAGATTGAATCCTACCCACTCAAATTCTTTCTAAAACACAATGGAAACACACTCATTTACACTTCTGTCAAACAGGTCCGAACCATGTCATATTGTTCATATTTCATATCATTGTTTGTGTTTGGGGTGATATGAAATTTAAATATTGTGATAACAAAGTGTTTTTCAGATATATTCAATTGTTATTGCCAGTCTTCTTATTTATATTGTGATGAAATATTTCGATTGTATCTCACTACCCTACAGCCAAACTTCCAAACTTCAACTTTGCAAATCTACAATCTATTTTTACCACTCTGAATTAATCACAATCAAATCAAATCTCAACGGCTGACATTTTTGTAGTACCATAATATCCTAAACAAACAACAAAATATTCTGTGTTATTCTGCATAAAACTGCTAACCCTGTAGTTTAGGTCTGTATGCATGTTCTGAATTACATGTGATTCTTGTATTCATTTAACAATTCATATTTCAGTCTTTTTGTCAGTCCTTCAGGTTTAAAATGTACACTTTGAACACAATCCTTTTATTTAAACCTAAATCGAAAATCTAAAACTTGTCTGAAAAATCGCAATCAGTTCTTTTTCTCAAAACAGCACCTCCTACTTCTCACGCTTTCTTATAAATCTTATGCATTACCTCTTCCATGCTCTCCTCATCTCCCACAAGGTCACATAGAAGACAATGCCTGCTACTTATCGAGCCCTGGACCGACCCATACACGCATGCTTTTGTCCTGTTCATTCAGACAGCATTAAAAGACCGAGCGCCGCTGTGTTGATTCATCTGCCAATGCTGATACATTTCAAAGTGATTTCCCATAGTTGACCTGAAAGGCAAGAGTCCAATATTGTGACAGCGGACAACTGCATTATCTTTAATAACCTAATCACGGGACCAATGGACACTGATCACTTCCAGCCAGTCGATGTGTATATAGGATTACACTGATATGATTAATAATAACATAGAGAGTGCATTAAGGCTTGCATTACGAAGACTTCAGTATGTTATGAAATGTGATTTTTTTTTAAGCAAATGTTATTACAAACACATGATTTATAACTTAAAGATTAAGGTTTGCAACTTAGAGTGGAGTGTATTTGAAATGTGATTTTTGCATTGATAAAAGAGACATTTGTAATTGTGATATTGTGTGATTAATAATATTGAGTTTGAATTAAGGCTTGCAGTTACTGACAGATACATTTAAGCACTTTTTTTACCTAGTTAAAAGAGAAACATGCAGATGTTATTACAAGGGAGTGCTTTATAACTTTGAGATTAAGGTTTGCAACTAAGAGTTAAGTGTATTGGAAATATGATTTTTGCATTGTTAAAAAAGATATTGGTACTTGTGATATGGTAACAACATGTAGGCAAGTGTGTGACAGACGGATATATTTAACCATGTTTTTTTAACCTCCTTAAAATGCCAATGAATATATACATTGGAATGACTCATAACATTGAGACAAAGTTTATATTTTGACTTGTGATGAGATGTGAATTTTGCATTGTTTCAAGGACAAAAAACTGTGACATACACTGCTGTGATTAAGACTGAACACTGAATATGCATAAAAGTTTGCAACTCTAAGACTTCATTAAGTTTCAAATTGTGCTTTTTGCCTAAAAGAGCAAATGAATAATAATTACATTGAAATGGTGATGTTTATGATATGGAGATGTGGTCTTTGATATGTTAAGACAGGAGTGTGTGTTTTAAATATGATTTTCACCTACTCAAAACTGCATATAATTCCTCTCTCTCCTTTCCTTCCTTCATTTAAAAGTATCTGGAAACTTAGGCCCTTGCAATCCACCTGTGTGCCAAAGCGAATAAGAAGAATGGCATCTCCAGTCCTATAGGTTAGAACACAAATGTAATTAAATAGCGCGCTATATTGACCTAATCAGATAGCGGGGGCCATAAATTAGTGGACACATGCTCACTAAAAGGCCCTCTCCGCTCCGAGCTAGGACGCATCGCTGATCGTTTATCATCCGAAAGCAGCAGCGGGGATAGACGGACGCACGCCAGTTATCTCTCCCTCTCTCCCGTTTTTCACTCTCTTTCTTTCCCTCTCTCCCACCCTTGTCTCGTCCCATCGCCTTCTTCTTTTCTATCTTTGTCTCCGTGTCCAGATCGGGTATCTTTGGACAGGGACAGGTGACTGCATTACGCACGAGGTGGAGGTTAAAACACGAGTGGGAGCGAGTGTTCTCAGTTCAGAAACTTACCATTCAAGCAGAGATTTTGATTCTGAAAAATGCAGGGAAAAAGTGGAAAAAAACAACTTTGCTTCTCGCTTTAACTCGGTGTCGTAGACCCAGGGCAAAGCGGTTCAAAAATTGTCATAACTAAATCAAAAATAGCAAAAGGCCGAATTCATATTTACGCTTTTATTGCGTTCAGATACTTTATAGTTACATACGTATCAATAGCGTTTCTCTATCGGTTTTAAAAGATTTGTCCAAGTTTGTAAAAGCACGTGTGTGATAGCTAAAATGGTTCCATGTTTTCCCAGAATTCTTAGCTAATTTTATTAACCACAAAATAAAACGGAAATGAATAACGGGATTTTTTTTTATGATAAATTGTATCTGTAAAAAAGGGATAAATAAATAATAATCGTGTAAATATATTTCCACCGATATTTAATTGGGTACATTTGTCAGTGTCAGATTATATTTTTAATAGACTTTTGCTTGTTCGATTTTAAATTCCACTTTCTCCTGACAGTGTTCAACAAGTGGCCTGCGCTGTCAGCGAAGGGGAAACGCGTGTTTGCTCTAAAATCAATCATCTACCGTGAGCTTTGGACACCTGCTGCACTTGTCTGTCAAGTATCAATGTCAAAAATCATAAGTTTAAGGCTACATACAGAAACATATTCTGTGCGTAATTGTGCCTAACGAGAAATGTTGACAAATCTATTTTGTTTTATTCCAGGAAAAAAATCAATACTGTCAATGAAGTGTAAATTATGTTACATTGCAAAAATATACATATGTTAATTTTGGTCAAAAACGATTCATGGTTTTAACTCATTTTTATGTTTCAATCAATTTGATCGTTCGCCTGGAGTGTTGCGCGTGATTTAAAGACTCAACTTATGATTTCAGTTTTTCTTTATCGCTTTCTGTTTAAAATATGTTATCGTTTACACTGTGTGGTTTATAAAACACATATAAAGGCATGCAAAAGGAAAAAGAACCAAATGAAACAGTTGAATAGACGTTTCTATTCAGACACGTTTATTCTTGAATGGCATAATCATTCAATAGTCCATGATGCGTTTAGCTCTGTATGATACCATGACAGAGGGTGGCTGCAGGTGCACGGGTTAATTATTCTCACACAGCAGAGCGCAGTCACACATTCCCAAACAGTGAGAGTGCACTGGAAGCGTAAGTACAATTCCTACAACATCTTGACAAACAGTCTCTTCCGAAAGACATGCTGCTGATGATAAGGTCAGATTAGAATTTGCACTTGTTGAATACTGTTCCATTGAATCTGAGCGTCAATTGGAGAGTTTCTGGTACTGTTCTGGTTGTGTGTCTCAGTTCAGTTCAAGTGGATAAAATGTCAGAGTCCATGAGAGCATGACATGAAGACAAAGCTTTACAAGGTTCATAAATAAAAGCATAAGTGTGATGTAGCTGAGCCATGCCCGTGGGGTGACAGTCGTTACGCACAGGGGACACAGGATGGAGCGCACTGGCCGCACATGACCCGCATGGCTCCAGTCCACAGCAGCTCCACGCTCTGTCCCACAGCCAAATGGCGCTCATGGGACATACACGATGAATGACATGGGATGAGATTCATCTTTCAGTTCCAAAACACTTAACACAAACATAATCCAAGCCATGTTAAATAAAAATTAAAAAAAAAAACTTCTCGGGAGGAAGTTTAATTTACAATAAGATTTAGGTTAAGCGTCATTACGCATGGACACAGAACCAGGACAAAAAACTGACGTGTCACATTTAAAAGAAGTGTCTCTAATGTAAGTGTCAGGTGCACAAAAAAGGAAAAAAAAAACATTTTAAATAATTTGGTAACTTTTCTGTAACCTGTGAAACTCCAGGATCCACTTCCTAATGCTGCGTTTGAACGCGTCTTATAACAGCCCTGAGTCGACACCAAACACTGGAATAAGTAAAAAAGAGACGTTTTTGTTCCCTTTTTAGCCAAATACGAAGTAAAGTGTATGTAGCTGCGCGTGTGACTGCTGGGGCTCGCGCTGTAAACTTTGGGCGCGCGTGGGACTCACATGAAAAACTCCGGGGAGGACGGGTTGTTGTCGCTGGCCGAGCCGTTCTCTCGGAAGCCGGTGCTGATGAGCTTCTCGTACTTCTCCTTGTAGACGTCCCGCTCCCTGGCCAGCCGCGAGATCTCGGCTTTGAGGTGGTCCACCTGCTGCTGCAGCTGCGTCTTCTCGCCCTCCAGCACGTGCCGTTGCTGTACGCGCTTGAAGCGGCAGGACTGCGCGTAGCCCCTGTTCTTTAGCGTCCTCCTCTTCTGTTTGAGCCGGATCACCTCCTCTTTGCTGACCCCGCGGAGCTGCCGGTTCAACTCCCGGACGGACATGGTGACGAGCTGCTCGTCCGAGAAACGGTCGTCCAGGCGCAGGTGCGAGTGGTTCCCCGCAGCTCCGCCGGGCTGTGTGCCGGACACGGGATGGTGCGCGCTCGGGTGGTGGTGGTGATGGTGGTGGTGATGGTGAGGAGTCCCATTCTGAGCCGCTGCGGCTGCTATAACAGCGGACACCACAGCGGCCGCTGAGCCCATCTCTTCCCCGGCCATGGCGCCCCCCGGGCCGGCCGAAGCTCCAAACTGCTGCCCCCTGGCGTAGCCATCGAAAGACTGGAGCTGGTGACTGCTGCTGATCAGCGCCTCTACGGCGTCCTCCGGGCTAAAACCCAGAGCCTCGGGGTTCAGCTGCTGTTGGTAGCCGCTCATCCAGTAGAAGTCCTCCAGGTGCGCCTTCTGCTCGCTCCCTGATCCCGGACTGGGCGCCGAGAAACTTGGAGAGGGGGGAACCGAGCTGCAAGGCGTGCTCATCGGGGTGGAAGACAGGGATCCCCCGGCGACCAGGCGGCTGCACTGGCTGATGCTGCGATCGGGCTCCACCGGCTCCTTTTTCACTTCAAACTTCATCAGATCGAAGTCATTAACATATTCCATGGCCAGGGGACTGGTGGGCAGGTCGGAGTTGCTCATTGCCAGCTCTGATGCCATCCTCTTGCTGTTGACAGTCCTCCAAAGGGGGTGAGGAGCACCTGTCAAAGTAGGCTGCTGAGACACGCACTGAGCCAGCTTGATTTCTTTATTTATTTTCTTCAAAACCGAAGGAAAAGTGTGTTTTCTCACACTAATTGCGCAGCGCAGGTTGCTTTTGCGAGTCGATAAGTTTTTTTTCTTCAGTCTGTGTTGCACAGACGCATTGGAGCGCCGCTCTTTCCTCCCTCTCTCCCCGCGTGCAGGTGTCTGAGCGCAGCGCTCTCTGTTTCGACCATTTAACACTTCATGGCTCCTTTTAGGATTAGTGCGCCAAATTGAGGAGGTTCACGGACGTGTCCAGGGCAAACAGTTGCCTTGTGGAGAATGGAAAAAACTCCACCCAAGGATTGATAGATTTTTTTCTAAGAGATCAGTCAGCCGACGAGTTAAAAAGCATTGCTTAGTTTTATAGAGAGCCTGACGTCACAACTGAAATATGAAATTGAGCGGAGCGCAGCCAATGAGCGCGGCTGCCCCGGGACCTCATTAGCATATCGGGATGGAAAGCAAAGTTTGTCAAGTGTCCAAAGAAATCAGCCGCTGTTTCTCTTCTCATTTAGTATGCACACGTTTCCGCGCGCACAAAGGAGAGCCATCACTTCTGTGCGCACGGAGCAGAGCCTCGCGCACATGTCCCGGGTAATGCACACGTTACTGTCCACAGCAGCATGTCCGTACATATATCAGATCAATTATTTTGCATAAACATTCATCAAAATAAATCAATCATTTCCACTGTACCTCTGCTGCTAATATTAATAAAGCTTTGGGTCGGTCTGGACTTTTGAGCTTAGCGTATCTGTTGTGCGTCACTACGTAAACATGAACAAAAGGATTACTCTGGTTCAGCCAATTTACCTAATTATTACCCATTTGTTAATTAACTTATGACAAATGCATTTCTTTTTATTTCAACAAACAAAAACTGTCCACAATATAACTTGAAAACGTCACAAGTCGCGTACATGTTTCGTAAATGTCCGTGATTTTAAATGTGATAAATAGTTTCTTTTGTCCTCACAGAAAGAATAAACAAAGCGCACGGGCAGCAGTGGTCGGAGGAGCGCTGGAGAGGACGAGGAGAGGACGGGACATGAGAGGAGAGCCACGCGTGCTGCTCCGTGCTCTGTTTGGAAATGTCGCCACCTTTCGGCAAAAAGCGTAACATCCAGTCAGCTTGTAGTTTACTCATTTATGAAACCACAAGGACTTACAAGTACTTAGCTTGAATAGGCCAATATTTTTGAAAACAAAAGTAAAGTAAATAAAGGGAGAAAAGGGATGGGAAATACTGTAAATCAGCTGCAGTTTTTCAGATAACCTAGTTGGTTCCCAAACTTTTCAGACAAGCACTACTTAAGAAAATATTTGGGAAGTTTCATTCTAAAGATCTAAACCAGGACTACGTCAGGACTCTATTATGACTAAACATGGTCTAAAAGGAGATTCAACATTTTTAGACTTGTGTAATTTGGATTTATACTTTGGAGTGACATTACAATCATTTGGCCACCTTTGATACTGAATATTTCCTCATATACCACACTACTCCATTTTAGTGGTTTAGTTCTTATAAAAGAGCACTGTAAACCCAGTGCAGTCTTCAATAAATATGTATATAGATTGTATTGGGTCATATCTGTGACAAAATCCCATTATTATTTTATGCATGGGCATGATTAGAACCAAAAATTTTACTCATTTTTTGTAACAATAATAATAAGCCTATAAAGCTGGTCAGTGGGGAAAATGTACAGTATATATGTTAAAAATAACGATAGTAACATAGTTTTATTATTAAAAAGTGTAAACAATGAAAAATTGTGCAATTTATTTTTATTTTTTTATATTTAAGTGTTGTTAGTAATATTGCTTGAATAGAAGAAAAAGTATATTGCAATAATAACAAATATGAATAAATATAGATAAAATCGGAAATAAATAATAAATAAATAATTGAAGCAAATCATTTCCCTTGTGGATCAGTAAAGTTGGTCTAAGTAAGTCTAAGTATAATTGATAGACAGTTAGATAAATACTTTTTGATCCCAAAGGAAATTGAAAGTCTGGTAGGAGCAACAATTAAAAAAAAAAAAATTAAAGTTAACAATTCATCCTCTTGCACTCATCAGCTGTAAGGATACATTGACTTCCAGAGCCTGTCCATTTCTTATTCTTTTGACTCAATCAGCAGAAATGAACAGCAGTGATACAATGGCGATAGCAAACCTGCTGCACATTCCTCTGCACAATAGTGTCCAAAACTTTACCAAAAGTCTTGTTATCTCCTACATTTCCAAGTCTAACGTGTCCTACCAAATAAACTTGGAGATTGAAAAGTGATGGGAAGTGTACTGAAAATTTGTACTCATATAAAAGTAATCACATGGCTTATAATGTACTCAATTTGCCAAGTACTGCTAAAGTAAGTAAGTGAAAAGTATGCTTGAAAAATACTATTCAAAGTACTAGTTACTTTTGAACACATAATTTTAGATCACACTTTTATTCTTAACATCTTCAGCCTAAAAGTGTAAAATTTTAATCAATCAGAGCGGCTGATGCAGTGCTGTTAGTTAGTATAGAAAGGAGCAGAGACAGTCGTGGGTAAGTAACTTCTACGATTTAAGAAGATAAGAAGAACTATACTCAAGTACATGTACAGGTTTAGAACCCCTGTTACCCCAAAAATCTACTAAATTACAGTAACATGAGTATTCGTTACTTTCCATCCCTGAAAATAACTTAGCTTGAACAAAACATCACTTTGGTTTCCCATTTTGTGTCTACTATTTAAAAATCCTCTATTTGTCTGGTGCACATTTTGCTGACTAAACACTTCAAATTTTGATCGTCTTATTCCCATCCCACATTTCTCTCTCCGTCTCAGCAGTGCCACATATAAGAACAAACATTGAAACGCACAGAGCTGTATCCTCACAGGACAGAAGTGTAAATATATGTGTCTCCATGGAGTGTGTCACCAGGGGGACACTACAAAGCCTACAGCCCAGAGACAGTGCCCCTCTTCCCTCTTCTCAATGCGGCGAACTCCCCTGGTCCCCTCCACGGTTCTGTCTGAAGACCAAACCTGATCATATTAACACGCTGTTTTATTCATTAGAATGCACTACAGAGAACACACACTAAACAAATAATGAACAAGTCTATATTGTCTGAGGAGGCTGTGTTGAGGATGGAAAGATGCACTATGTAACTTTTCTGATTGTTGCTATGGAGGTGTTTTTGTGTTATCTAATTTTGCACAATATGACATTCAATTAATCAGTCTGAAGCAAAAGCAAAAGACTGCAGTCTCTAAATATTTGCAACTTGCCTCATACATACAAATGCTTTGCTGTTATAATGTTACCAGAAGACAATATGGTAGAAGAGTCTTGCCAAAAGACACAACAACATTCAATCTTTCCTTTTACAGCCTCTCACACAATTTACTCTTATAACCAGCATTGGAAAGTAACTAAAAACATAAAAGGAAATACATACATACTTTGAAATACATACATAATATTGGATACAGTTACTTTCTAAAATAAAAGGAAAGTACTTTATTACAGTTAAACTATACTGTATATACTGTATTAGTGAGAAAAAGAGAAAACAGTACGCTTGTGGTGAGTGCTAGTGTGATTTATCATTCTCCAATCAGTTATTAAATAAAATAAATAAAAAGTTCTGAGAATATCATATGGGGCGCTCTCTGGATCATAGCGTGAAACGACAGTCAGGAGTTTTTCAGAAATCCTAAGTGGACAGAACTTACTAGGTAAAAGAGGAGGAAGTGCCTCCCCTCTTTCACCTAGTAAATAAAAAGTTTTGTGTTTATCCTATGTTGCATTTTTACACTTTAATATATGCAACTTAAAGTGATGGAAGTAACTTTCTGAAGAACGAAAGACACATGCATAATTCCATGGAAATAGAAATTGGGAACTTTCTCCATGAAGATATATTTTATGCCTTACTGTGGAAGATTATTGCCAAAGAAACATTTCCATGGAAACAAGAAGGAGAAGGCCCTCCTCCAAGCCAAATAAGAGTAGGGTTTTTGGAGATGTAAGTCCACATCCAGTAAGAACAGAATTTTTTCTATGTTTTTTAGTGTAATAGAAACACCCATAATGAAATTTTAGTATTCTATAACTAAATGTGTTTTAAAAAATCTTCTGCTGTAACTTTTGCATTTTTCATTACTTATTTCACTACGTTTTAAATGAGTGGATCTTACCTAACAACCAACACTCAGCCATAACATTACCCCCGCCTTACTTTTAATACCAATTCCCCGTTATTTAAAATTCACAAGGTGTGCAAAACCAACACAGCGCATTTATATATTTGTCGTATTTTTATGGTAAAGCTTCCCTCCTCGTAGTTACACTTCATTACCAATAAATTAGCCGTTTGCTGGACAATAAAACCTAGTGCTTTCCGTGCATTTATTTTTACAGTGCAGTCTGGTGTTGTAAGGGTTAACCGGTGCATATATAGACCTCCAGCTGCTTTCCTCGGCCTGCTCTATAGCACCGTCCCCCTTTTGTGCATTTACTTTATCATACGTGACAAGGCACAACATAAGGAGCGAGCGCAGCGTCAGAAATAGCCTGCTAGCATGAGGAGGTATACTTTCACTCAGTGCGATTCACCTGCGACTAACACAAACAGCTAGCATGCTAAGAGGTTTAACAGTAGGAAGTATATATGGTTATTTAGGGGCACTGTGAAAAATGTTAGAGGTAATGTATAGTATGTCCCTATAGGGTTACCGTAGTGGTGAAAGTTAAGTGTTTTACAGTTTCAATAAATCTGGAAAATCTTATGCGCACTTTGCAAAACAATTCATGCAAGACACAAAACAAATACGATTGTTTGAAAAAGTTAACTTTGAGAACAAATGGTAAAACTGCCGTGTAAAAAGGACACTTTATGGTTGAAGGTGCACTGTGTAACTTTTAGTGAAGGGTCCATCTCCAGCTGGAAATGTTGCCAGGATGTTCCACAGTTTAACATTACACTTATTTATCTCTGTCTGTAGACAGCAGGTGACACCACATATCCAAGTTACATGTTAAATCTGTGGAGAGGTGAGCTTAGTAAGAATGAAAGTTCAACAAAAATCAATAAAAACCCATGTTATTCACTACATGTAAGATACAGGATACATGTAATGCCATACTGGGACATTCCAAACAAAGCAACAACATCTCCATGGAGACAAGCAGATGGCGGACC